TTCGCTCACTGAGATAGACTGTTCTAGTTCCACGTGCCATGTTTAAAGAATGTCAGTTATCAGTTATCCGCTGTTAATTTCCATCTGAAATTTCTCCACTCCCTTAACCGGGTATTGAACTCAAACTTTATGGGTCCTGTCACTGGATCTAACCAACGCCTTTATCCACTGTGCCTTTTATTTTTTTTTATTGTATTCCTTTTATTCCGTTTTAAAAAAAATGTGATTACGACCAAAGTTTTTTATTTTTCAAAATGTATGGTAATTGCCTTTAAAAGCTTCCAAAAATTGTCAGAATCATGCAATTATCCAGGGACGCAAATATCCAGTACGGAACTATCCTAGAAACCCTTGCGATGTAGTAGCCGGGGAAAAGGTATCCATAACTCTCAATGCCACGTAGATATTTTGAACTCTGTCAAGTCTGGGAATTCTGAATCGAGCACTTCCCGCCCAAACAGGACAGGGATATTCCATTCTAGGTTGACTGAAAAAGTGTCTGGGTTATAACCTCAATCTTAAAATCCCGAATGTCGAAGTCCTTACATTTAATATCCTGAAATTTGAAATCCCGAATGTATCAAAATCCTGAAAGATCAGACTCCCGAAAAACAGTCTTTGGGAGAAATTGAAAAAATAAATAAATAAATAATAATGGAAATACTTTTCTTTCTAGACATTTACAAAATACTGTTTAAATAATTGTGATACTTTTGAAACATTCAAAACTCATTTAGAAATACCACAAGAATATATGAAATATTTATAATGAAAAATTATGAACAACAGATCGAACATGTAATTCACTATATGTCCTTTGTTATTCATGTCTTAATGAAAAAATTGAAATCATTAGATTTAAAGACAAGGCCCATCTCTTAAATCAAAGGAATGAACTAACTGTTAACTGTAAACATAACTTAAAATTTAACTTACTATAGCGATAGTAATATTTTTGATGATAAGGCAATGTTACTGTAAGTTTACTGTGTTATTACTTATATTACCTGCTAATCCTCATATCTATGTACATATGTGTAGCTATGAGTGAAATTAAGTAGACGGTACACTTTAGAACCCTCGATAGCTGTGCTAGCAAAAGTCATCGTGACTGAGGTTTGGAGTGTGCTGGCCTTTTTCACACTCTTGACCCCGTGAATTGTAACTAAGGTCTGCTCAGTATGGTTGCAGTATGGACTCTTTTGGTGCTGTACAAGAACAAATCTGCCTCAGTAAGCGTCTGCAATAGGGATTGGCTAGCTGCTCTAGTAGACGAGCATCCTCGAATACAAGTGGCCAGCTATTACATATATATATATATTATTTTATGTTTATATGTTCTATATATATATATATATATATATATATATATATATATATATATATATAAAAGTTATGAAGAATTTGGTAAACCGAATTGTAATTCCAAGGAGGATGAAATCCTGAGAGCTCAATGTGAAGAACAGAGCTAATATTTAATGAACAACAGACACTTTAAGGTACCATTACAATAATTTATTTCACCAAAATAATTTTAAAAGGATTTTGGTGAAATAAATTATTAATAATAGTACCTTTAAAAATGTCTGTTGTTCATTATATATATATATATATATATATATATATATATATATATATATATATATATACTTTTGGGTTTATATAAAAAAATTCTGTTCAATTTTATTTCCCTGTACTTTTACACATGTGGGATATATAATAAACTTTTCTTCCTTAAAAATTTTCTGTTTTTTTTTTTTTTTTTTTTCTGTACACTAATTATTTTCCGGCATTTTCATCTTGGGCGGATGGTATTTCTCCCATTCAGTGAGTTTCGTGCGTGTGTCCAATGCTATGAAACTTTGTAATATCTTGAAATTTTCAAACGGGTAAATGTTGCCCATTTTCATAAATAACTTTTGCCTACCGCCTGATGATTGCGTAAGAACCTATGAAACTTTTAGTCATCGTCGGCTACTGATCACCGGGAATTATTCAGAACACACACACACATATATATATATATATATATATCAAACCATAAAACTCTTATGCAGATACGGTCTCGAATAAAAACGACAATACTGAAAAAAAGAAAAAAATGTCTAATGCAAACTTACCTACTCAGTAAAGTAAAAAGTACACACACACACACACACACACACATATATATATATATATATATATATATATATATCCTTTATACGTTTCTCTGAATATGTATATCTCTCTCAATAGATGTTGATGTGGCTGCTATTCCATATGTATGTATTGTTATCTATTTATCTCAGTCTGTTTACATCTATCTATATCTATATATGTATCTATCTATACACCGCGTGCCAAATTATTATTGAGATCACTTTTTTCTAATATTTCAACAACACTGACCTGCGAAATCACTGAATTTTTCGTACTGATCTGCGCAATGTAAAGAAACTGTTGCCATATTTGTTATCAGCACGATGATTTGAGAATGCCAAATTATTAGAAAAGTTTAGTAAAATTCCCAGAATTGAGCAAACAAAACGTTTATTAATGTTGCACGTGAATGTTTATGATCAAAAGAAGCTAATAAATAAGATAATCAAACAACTAATAAAAGATACAAACAAAGGCACAGTTTTAAACACATTAATAGGGAATGTGCTTTCCCTGTTTTGAAATTACTTGAAGAAGTCGACGATCCATAGAATTTGTTAATTGTAGGATGTCATCTGCTGTAATGCTGCGAGATATGTCAAGAATTGCTTCCCACAACTCAGCGTTGCTTCTGAATTGTCGTCCGTTGGCGTACAGTCTTCGCTTCATGATGCTCCAAAGGTTTTCGATTGGGTTCAAATCCGGAGAATTTGCTGGCAATTTCATTTTTCGAGGTCCATCGAAGCCTAACTTTCAAATATTCAGTAGTCTTGTGAGCAGCATGTGAGGGAGCATTATCTTGCATAAAAACAATGGCCCTTCTGAAGGCAATTCTTTGCCTTTTCATCCACAGTTCAAGATGCTCCTTCATAAACGCTATGTATGCATCAGCAGTCATTTTGACGCCATCTGGTACTTTCCATGGGCCCACTAATGTTTTTCCAATAATACCACCACAGATCATTATGCCTCCACCGCCTTGTTGCCGTCTCAAACGATGATGGTAATTCTGTACGTTCATTACCCAGCCTTTGCACCATTTATCTGGCCCATCAAGTGTTGCTCGAGTTTCGTCTGTGAACAAAACTTTAGAGAAGTCAATCTTCATATTGTCCTCGGCCCATTTCAATCGATTTTGAATGTGATTTCTCGTCAATGGAGGCTTCGATACAGGTTTGACTATTGTTACTATTTCTCTCAGATACCGACACCGAGTACTTTTAGACACAGTAGGATCCCCAATGCGACTGAAAAGCTCTTGACTGGTAAGTCCAGGGTTCTTCGTGGCCTCTCGTTTAAGTCGTGACATGAGACGACTTGAAATAACCTTCGACTTGCCTTTATCTGCCCTTTTGCGCACGTGTGTAGGGTCGGAGGTGAACTTTTTTTTATGACACCTCCCTATCATTTTAGAAATTTCTAGGGTAGATTTACCTTTTGAGAGTTCTGAGGTGATAGTTTTCTTTTCAGCATCACTTAAACTGCTTTTACGACCCATCTTTTCACTAAATTCTTACACTTTTCTAATAATTTAGCACTCTCAAATCATCGTGCTGAAAACAAATACGTTTTCTGAGTATGTGCGATTATTGACAGTTGTGTACAATATCGGAACGTGCAAAGACGCAACACTATGTTTTTCAAAATTTTAAGTGAGAATTTTATTTGAATTTTTCTTGTGAAGTGGTAAATCCACGTATTCTATTTTAACAAAAAACATCTTTCGGTTGACAAAAAATTATTTCGTCTTCAAGTTTTTGATTTTATAAGGAAAACATATGCCTGACGATGAATAAAGGATTATTCGAAAGTACTTGCATTTTAAAAAAATATAAACTGGAAAAAACAGACAACAGTTTTATAAATGAGGATCACGTCACAACAGTATTTTAATGCATACATTTTACACTACTAGCGATGGATATCGCCAATAATAGCATTGATATTGCTGATTGATTCTATGTGTGATTATTTCTTTGTATATATATATATATATATATATATATATATATCCTTTATACGTTTCTGTGAATATTTATATCTCTCTTATTAGATGTTGATGTGGCTGCTATTCCATATGCATGTATTGTTATCTATCTCAGTCTGTTTACATCTATCTATCTATTTATCTATCTATCTATTTATCTATTTCATGTTAACACTTAAAAGCGTTAACATGAAATAGATAGATGGACTCCATTTATTTTACTTGTATATTCAAAACTCTTGCTCAAATTCGTTTGATACACATTACCTACTTGTTGAACCTTAAAATATCTACATATATACAGACAGACATATATATATATATATATATATATATATATATATATATATATATATATATATAGATAGATAGATAGATAGATAGATAGATAGATAATCGTTTATTGATGAAGTGGATGTGAATAATTGCCTTTTTTGGTGTATTCTTCTGCTATTGTTACCAAAGTATTGTCGCAAAAATAATGGAAATGTGAGAAAAGTTAAAAAAATGGAAAAAAATAACACCTGAGAAAATATGTTAAATAGAAAAAAAATAACTGCAACCAAAAGACCCTCTAAAAAACGGTCTGACTTCGACCAGTGATTCAGCGAAGAATTATCTACCAAACATTTTCAATAATATTTATTTCGTTGATCTGATATTTTTCCCTCCATTGTCACTTGGCTCGTGAATCAACAGGAGCACTCTGATATATATTTCATCTTCATGTTGCTTCCGTAAATCATGGATCATTCGCCTGTTGTATTGAAATATTGCAAAAGATTTGCCACTGTAGGGAAAATGGACGATTATGCGCATGTGTGTGAGCATGCGTAAAAAGGTGTGGTGCTTGTAGGAATGTGGAAGTTAATCAAAAATAACAATATAAATGATAAATATGCGAGGAACACTGAAGAAAGAAAGAACGAAAGAAAGAAAATAAGAAGGACGAAAAGAAAGAAAGAAAGAAAGAAAGAAAGAAAAAAGAAAGAAGGCATAACGGAAAGAAAGAATGAAAATAAATGAAAGGACTAGAGAGAAGAAGAAAAAAATGGAAGAAGACTATAAATTTATTTAAGAAAGAAAGAAAGAAAGAAAGAAAGAAAGAAAGAAAGAAAGAAAGAAAGAAAGAAAGAAAATGTTGGCGGGAAGAAAGAATAAAAGCTAGCGATTAAATGAAAAGAGGGAAGAGGAAAAATAAAAAGGGAGCTGGCGGATAATTTATAGTGAATAGAAAGAAAAAAGAAAGAAAGAAAAAGAAAGGAAGAGAGATAGAAGGAAAGAAAGAAAAAAAGAACGGATACAACATGACAAGGTAAGGATTGCAAAAAAGGAAGAAATAAAATGTGTAAAAATGAATGAAAACGAGAAATGAAAGAAAAACTGAAAGGAGATACAGGAAATTCATTCGGAAATGAAAGAAAAGATTTTCAAACTGGTCAAAAAAGAGAGAAAGCGAAACAGAAAATGGTTACGAAGAAAAAAAGAAAAATGATTTTGTATTTTAAATCGTCAGAAAGAAGAAAAAAACTGGAAGGAAAACTAAACTGCTTCGAAATGAAGGAAAGAAACGATAACTAATTATTTTATACGATAAATCTGCAAATGGAAAAAGAAATTGAAAGTTAAGTAGAAAAATATGTCTTGAAAGGAAAGAAAAAAAGAAAGCCTTCTATATCCCTGACATGAGGTATTAGAATTACTTGCACTATTTATATTATTCGGACTGTTATCTTCATCTTCATTGCCATATTCACAACGTTTCGGCCATTGTACGTTCCGGCCTTCTTCAGGTGATTGGAATTCCGAACCGAACCCCTTATTACGTCCACCGGGGTAGATTGTTCTAGTTCCGCGTGCCATGCCTCATCCGGATATCTCAGTTATTTCCCTTTAATTCAACTCCCTAAGTTTTGGTTCACCACTGCTGTAGTTAAAGACGTTGGTTAGATAAAGTGACTAGACCCAAAGAGTTGTGAGTTCAATACCAGGCCACTGCAGTGGTGAACTAAAAAAAAAAAAACTTGGGCAGAAAAGGAGAAATCAACTAATTTGTAGTTTTTTTCTTTAAATTGAAACAGCTCTGATGGGAACGATGGCTACTGTTGCAGATTTTAATTTGCATTGTCCCATTTTGGAAATACTTATAGTTATTCTCACCACTACCCACTATTTAATAAGACACGGCTTCTTATACAACGGGGCTTGGAAATTTATTGCGAAATCTTAGTTAGTGGCGGGTCTAACATATGCTGGCACAGTTTTCACCGTCTGCTTTAATGAATATACTTCATGCCAAGTTAAGGTCTATCCCTCGCGTAAAATCCCAAAAAGTTAAATTTTCCATTCATTGTTAATTTGGAAGAGAGTATAGAAGCTAAAAAAAACATGCCATACGAAAATAAATTATATTATCTATTTTTATTTAACCATTACCGTATATACTCGTGTAAAACGCGATGTGTTTTTTTTTTTTTAAATACAGCTGTACATTTGACTACAACCAATGGATATATAGTTTTGTCAAGCACGTAGCCAGGTCCAACAGTCCATTTCATATCTCGTGTATGATCCAGACCCCTTAAAAGAAGCTTCAAAATTAGGTCTTCTAAAGTCACATGATACGGGAGTTCCTATTCTTCTGTGAAATTATATAAGAATTTTTAAAAATGTATCTTACAAGTGTCGTAATAAGGAAATAAAGCTGCTAAAAAAGTAAAAACGGAAGTTGACCTCCTCCTCCGACTTATTTGCTATGGAAGAGTACTCCATCTGAAAATACGGTCGAGAATAGATTGGATGCGCGTGTGGTGTAATGGATAAAGACTTGGAATGAAAGATCGGATAGCCGAGTTCGAATTCCAATCGGTTTCGTTATACACACTTACGTGCAAATATCCTTGGGAAATGTATGAATCCTTCTCCTTATGTGTAACAGCAGGTTAGATTGGACCTATTGAATTAGTTAGTAACTAGTGTACGAGAAGGAAAACTCTTAATTTAAACCAGTCTGGAGAAGGTTGGGCTCTGTTAGGCTGTCTTGCTCGTCAAACAAGGGTGGCGACAGTAGATACGGTGCCCTTACAACCCTAAGGGGATACGGGATTTGTGATCATCCTGCTGACTATGCCCTTTCTTAAGGATTTCCTTGAAAACCTGTTTTCTATGACTGTTCGCTTGATAAAGGAATGTCAATAAATGATGATGATTATGATGATGATGACAATGATGATTGCTGAAATGCTGCTTGTCACGCCTGACCTGCACTGCTGTGGTTTTGCGACGGAAATACTGGATATATGCAGTTATGCAAATGACATCACGCGATTTCATTTTCGTTTTACTTTGAAAAAAAAACTAAAAAAAAAACGCGACCTGATTATTCGTTCAAGTCTTTGAAATGAAGTCGCCGTTTGGACGGGCTCAGATCACGATTTTCGTTATTTTTTTTTTACTTTTTATTTTTCTCTATCAGAAGCATTTGCTTCATTTTGGCATTTCAATTTTCGTGCGCCACAGTCGAGTACTTGGTGTGCATATCACAATCATATGCCACTCAACTGAATATTCACAGGGACGTTTTTTTTTAAATACTATTTTTAAAAGATAAGAAGCAGAAAACTCTTTGATTCCAGGCTTTTAGAAGGACACCTCAGTGTTTACATCATACGACCAGATGAAAATCTTACGTTTTTTTCCCTTCTAAACACAGTCACAAGAAAAATCTCTTCAATTAGCACGAAAATAGACGGTGTTCAAGATAGAGACTTGCGCGGATGTATTTATTTATTTATCCTAAATTTCCGCCCGGTTTACACTTCTCCCCAGCCTTTCGAACAGGAATATAGGTTTATCCGTTTTCGTATTTAGGATTGGGTTTCCGGTTTCTTTTAAAGTCTAAACCAAAATATACTTCTAGCGTCTCCACTGAACTTTGAAATTTTATTTAAGGTTCGCCTATTACCAGGATCGCACTCTTTCTGGTCTTTTGAACCGGAGCAGATGTTTATCCCTTGTTTCCTTTTTAGGATTAGGTTCCCAGTTTCTTCTAATGTCTATTTGAACGCTCTAATGCTAACGTCTCCCCCTGAACTCTAAACTTATATTTACTCATTATTTATTTTTTCTTCTTCTTCTCAATATGAGTCGATAGGTTTCGCTAATTATTCGGTTCACAGGCCTCCCTGTTCCTTTGAATAGAAGTAAAGGTTTATTTCTTGTTTCTTATTTAGGATTGAGTTCCCGTTTCTTTCTAAATTTTTCTCCTTCTACTTCAGTTCCAGTAGCCACCTCCACACTGCGTCTTAGCGTCAATATTGCTTTGTTTGGGCTGAATTGATAAAAAAAATGACAAAAATGACAAAAAATAGAGTTAACAAATTGTGTTTTCGGCCGTTGTACGAAGAGTTGTTCATCTAAGTTAAATCGGGAATTCCTGGTGTGATCAAATACAGTCTGAGACTTTCACGCTTATTTTCGCAATAATTGTAATGATAATGGCAAAGTTAACCGTTTCCAATCGGGAAATTCCAATCAGGCATTGCAATTAAGCATCGATTGACCGAAGTTTAAGTTTACTGTCGGTTGAAATTTATAAAATTTATAAACTCTTTATCTTAAAAAATGATAACTGATATTTTCACAACATAAGAGTGTGAGCTGACCTACAAAACAACATCAAGATCTCGCTGCTAGTGAACAGAGCATGTTTAAGTTTGTGGCTCGGCTCCAGGAAGGACTCTTAGAAATACTTGTAACAGCTAAGTACTGAGGTTACATCATATAAAAGGCTGAATTAGATAGATAGCTAACATTATAGTGTTATGCATTATAACATTATAATTATAACATTATAAGGTTATATACTGTAACATTATACTATATTATAACATAGTATTATAGCATTATACTCAGCATACAAATCAACGTCCCTATCACTCAAGCTAATTAGGTGACTGTCCAAGCTTACTTGAGCCTGTGCGTTGCCTTACATCCGTCTTGGAAGACGCACACGTATTTTTCACGTATTTTACACGTATGTGCATCTTGTAAGATGTAATATAGGGTAATCTGTTGCAAGAAGCACAACCTCGATAGTAACAATGACGGAGATGCTGTATTTGATACGCTTTGCTCCGTTAGCCCTCAAATCACACTTGACCACGACTGTTATGACTTGTTTTCGCACACCTTGTGAAAGAAGATACTTAGGTGATGACCTTTCATTAGCATCTCGGTCACTGTATTTTTTAATGCCATGTTCCTAGCATATAAGATACGGTTAGATCTAGCCATTACAACTGTAAAATGATGAGACCTTGCCGCCAATCTTGTACTGCGCTCAAATTCATATAGTCTAGGTACCAGAGATGGAAGCTCATCAGAATAATTGCCATGAAAGAATTTCTAGAACATGAACAGCAAAGCAACGATACGGCAGTGGGAATATAACTTAAGCAAAGATGCTGATCTTGTTGCAGTTTTTTGTGTATATATATATGTACTAGTGAGCCAACCCAAATGACTTGACTCACTTTATAGTCCCCCAATAGAAGGTTAACCAATCAGAAGACGTAGAATATTCAATCCGTCGTGTATAAAGGCGGCCATTTTGTTTACTCTATCCGAATGTCCAGTGCCAGCTTGTCAGGCGAAGAGGAACAGAAGGGGAAACCTACTGAACTACGCTCTGCTACTTTACCGAGATATCCACTGCTAACCTGAACTACGCTTCCCTACTGTCTTCGAAATATTCACTGCTAACCTCCGGATTCTATCCTCGAAGACGACCGTCATCATGAACAACAGATATTTCATTGAGTGGTATAAAAATATCTCTTATATATAGCAGATGAGATATATAGAGAGATGTGCCGGAAATACTCTAAGCATGGCGGAATGATAGTCTTATAAATATTTAAGATAGATTCTAGCGAGAAAAGTTCGAGAAGGGCAACCAATTTTCCTAGTCAAAGTCCTAGCAATTGATTCAATATGTCCTTCCCTCTTGGTGTCAGAGGAAAACGCTCCTTCGAGAAGATGGAATGAGGCGCTCTCCTGATGATTAACATAAACCATGCTGACCCAAGGCAAAAAAAGTTTTCTCACATATGACTAAAAGTGTGCAGTCTCATTTTGGAGGCAATTAAATTAAAATCCATTTC